TGGTCCTCCATGCCACCAACACCATCAACATTGCTTGTAAAGACAGTCAACCACCACCAAGGTTGTTGGAACCTACATTGGCGAAGCCACATCCTATAGTGGGTGCTGCTAATCCGTCACCCTCTCATACACCAGAGCTTGAGGAGGATCTGATGCAATACTTCAACCGCCCTGGTCATCATACGGAAGCTCACCCTAGCCCCCCAGAGTCTCCTCCCACGAAGAAGGCGAAGAGACCATCCATGACAGGAGCACCTCAGCAAACGCTTTTGTATGCTTGTGTCCTCTTTCCATTTGAGCAATAATTTGGGTGCACAACATTGTTGCCCACACTATCTAAGGATCGCCAATGTGATTTGAATATGAATCAGGTGTGTTCTTTGCCTTTTGACCCTCATAATTTTAATTGGGAAAAGGCCAACAAAGATGGCCTATACAACCATTCTTTTTCGAGCAAGGGCTCCTCCCGCACATGTGGAAAACTCTTGGCTCACTGTGTTGCAAAGGTAACAGCCCTCAGGGAGAAAATGGGCATTCGCCTTTGCATTTTCAAAATTGGCGTTACATCTATGCCGCCCAATCGGTTTGAGTTGTACAGAAACGGGGGCTATTCCATGATGTGGATTTTAGCCACATCTTGTTCTGTGGATCTTGTCCACATGCTCGAAGCCGCTTTGATACATGAATTCCACAAACATGTGGGTTGCAGGAATGTTGCAGGGAGTGGTGGTGATGGGGCCCTCAATCGTATCCCCCCTCCTCCACCGCCATATTTTGTTTATGTAGCAGCTGCCCGTGCTGACCAAGCCAGGAGAGTGTTGTGACAATCACCAGCTCTCACACTGGACTGCTTTAGGGAAAACACATGTCCGTGCTGCTTGGGACAGCAGTAGCATCGCATCTCAAATCCATCCATGTAGCTCAACTGTTGCCCGCTGCATGTCAGTTGCAAGCATTGACCTTCTTTCATTCTCATGGTGTTCGAAGTATCTTAGATATGTTATGTTTGATATATGTTTGTTGTGTTGTCCAGCTCATGCGCCATTATAAGAACACTAATGAGCTGAAGTAGGTTGACCTTTGATTGTGCGACTTCAGTGTTGTAGACGGTTTGCTTTTGCCCCCTCACCTCCACCTCTCTTTACAGATGCATCGAAACATGTTGATACATCCTGGCGCTGCCGAGGCCCCATGCTCGCACTTGGTGGAGCTTGCTCGTGCACACGTTACGGCGAACCCCAGTCCGAGTCGTCCGATGATGGAGTTTGCCCGTGTCCGTGTGGAAGATGCAGAAAGCGGTTGCCACAGGATCTTTAGGAAGCATGGCCTCGTTCCTTCAACAGTGCAAATCGAGCGTAGAAACCTTGTGGATGGTGTGAAAACGGTCAAGAACTGGCCAATTATCAAACTTAGTTCCTGGGTCAAGTACTTGCTTGATACAGGCCGATTGCCACGGCAAATGGTTGGTGTAGATTCTTTTGAGAAAATGAAGAAGGTGCTCGCTGAATTTTGGCGCCGTTACAAAGCTCTCTCACCTTCTTCTGAACTTTTTGACCTTGCAGATGAAGGGATTGTATGCCTGGATTGTTGCATACCCTTTTACAGCCACACCGATGAAGGTAGATCCTACAAACACTTGGGCTTTTGGGTGTTGTCATCGCACGGAGCAATTGGTCGAGGGACATCCCTCTACATCGGTGCTCAGTGTCACAAACAGCCACTATCACAGAACGAGATGGGATTGTCGTTCGTTGGTGGGACTTGGTCGACGCAGTTCATCTTTTCGGGAATGCTCAAAACAGTTTACTCGAAGTGTCCTGCAGCGCAAGATGCAATTGTGAAACTGTACGCCGAGGATGTGCAAAGACTACTTTTCAACGGAGTGGTTTCTTCGGACGGCCTGCGCAAGGTTCACCTGATACACATCGGAACGAAGGGGGATTTGCCTGCGTTGGTCCGGTTGGGCCAATTTTCTCGGAGCTTTAGCCACGTACCACGTGGAGCACGCTCACAGAAGGCATGCGCTGGCATTTGCCACTTGTGCTTAGCAGGGGTTGAAAATTGGGGCCCTGATCGAAGGTCGATTCCCTTCGAGGACATGTCGCCTCAAGCAGCCTGGGTGAGCACCCTGCACCAACATGTGGCATGGCAATCCCTTCCAAAGATTTTGGAGGGGCTGCCTTTGAGAGACCCTGAGCGCATTGCATTCTTCATGACAGACTTGTGGCACAACTTCCACCTTGGAGTCTCGAAACACTTTTTGGGAAGTGCGTTTGTGGGAATCATTGAATCGTCCTTGCCAAGTGTAGTCCCAGGTTCCGTGGAGGTGAAATTCCAGTGGCTGACTTCTTTGTACATCTCCTTCTTTCGCTCCAAGGGTTCCACTCCGTTCCTCACTGAGATCAGTCGTGAAAGCATGGGCTTTCCACAGGGCTCTACATGCCCTATTGGGCGGTGGTCGAAGGGAGTGGTGTCAACGCAATTGATGTGGTTTCTAGATCACTTCTGCCAAGAGCATATTGTGAACAAGACTCACGACCCATTGCTTTTGTCCATTGAACCTTTTGCTTTACTCAGTATATGTTTACGCACAACTAGATGTGTTTTTTGTTTTCTGTCTTTTGGGTTTGGTGTCTACTAACCTTTTGCTGATTGCATTTGCTGATGCTGAGGCTTCAGGCGCCTTTGCGATGAACAAGGCCCTGGGGACAATGTACCGTTCAGGGTTCTGGATGTGCAGGGCAAAAGCACAGCAGGTGGGAAATTGGATTTATACTTTCCTGGCTCATTATGCGATTTGTGCAAACATCACGTTGCAGCAGCACAAGCGAAGGTTCAGCATGACGCCAAAGCATCATATGATTTCACACGATGCTCACGGTTTGTTGGACCAGGCGTCCAAAGTTGATTTTTGTCTCAATCCTTTGAGTCGCACCAATCAAATCCAAGAGGATTTTATCGGGCGACCGTCTCGACTTTCGAGGCGTGTTTCGAGTAGGAGCCTTCACAGCTCAGTGATGCTAAGGTGCTTGATCATGTATGAAGAGGCTTTGAAGAAAGCCGATGTTGACATCCGTGGAATGGATGTTTACCCTGATTGCTAAACTGAAGAACCCTTGAGAGTTAAGTTCATACTTGGTAAACTGTTGTTTGACCTCCACTGTTAGAAGTTGTGGTGTCTGGCATTCAGGTCCACATGAGCCACACCCCCAATCTGGGGCCTCGACTCACAGGGTTGCACTTGGATGCAACCACCCGTGTGAAAATGGCTGCGGATGGGCGGAGGATGGCGGTGGGAAGGAGGATTCTTGCAGAAGTGTTTGGTGTGTTTGGTTGTTCAGGTGGGTTGGAGTGTTGAGATATGTAGAATGCTAGATTTCTCAAATCATGAAAAGGACGTATTTTGGGGAAAGGTGCGTATTTTCACATATGTAATGTTATGAGACCCGTAAACATGGTCCTATGCTCAAAAGAGAGGTCAACCCGGTTCCAGGTATATATACTTGAGAAACTACTTGAGAACATGCGTGGTCCGTGATGGTTGGTTGGTGACCATGGACGTACCGGTTTGACTATTCCCATCCTCTCCACGGGACTGGAATAGGACTGCCCTGGCACCAGAACCCCCCGATTTCGCATCACCACCCCGAGATCTCGGCTGAAACTCGGCAGTCCGACATGGCAGTCCCAGATGGCGCTCGTGTCTGGGTAGGTCTTTTCCATCCAACAACCACCGCCCAACCACCGCCCAACGCCGGCGTGCAGGGGCCCATGGGGTACACCGTGCGGAAGGTAAGGACGTATGGTGAACCACCGACATGACGGTCACGTTCGGCACGCCAACCAAACGTAGCTTCACCAGGTCCGGGACTTCAAGGACTTCAGGGTCAAGAGTAAACGAGTTGATGTATCAGTAAACCCATGGAACAGACATCTGAAGGGCTTATGCGAAAGAAAAGAACGTAAACAGTAAACCCATGGAATGCCTATGGATCTAAGATACCCTCTGAGGTATGGTGATGTGTCCCACACTTTGATGTAGCCATTGTCGGGTCCAGTCGTACATTCTGAGAAGGTATGATTGATCAGTAGGCAATCTAGACTCTTGATGAGTCAAAGGCCCCAATCCTCCATATCGTGTAAAACAAGAATCTACTAGGAGCAAAGGGCATCGCATGGCATCGCTACGTTCGGAGCGATCGGACGCTACTCTAGGGGCTCCTGGCCTTACTACTAGGAACAAAAAGCTACTAGTAACAATTGGCATCGCTACTATATAGGAACAATTGGCATCGCTACTAGTCAACAAGAAGCTAGTATCGTAGTAGAAGACCAACCGAACCAGAGAGCGACCGATGGTCTTCAAGGCCGGATCGGTCCCGGGCAATTGGCCCCACACTGGGGCGGTCACAAAGGGTTTCAATTTTTCGGCCGGCAGATGTCCAGACCGCAGTTCTAGCACAAGATCCGAATCACAGGATCCGAAGGATCCGAATCCGAGACCAAGTCTGACTTGCAAATGTTGGGCCGCCGCACAGTTCCAGCATGCCAGGGAAGGAAGGCCACATATCTCGGCCCAGTTCGTTCTCCGACCACTCCTGTGGCGCGGAGAGACCGCCGAGCCCGCGCTTCCTCCAGTCGAATGGTTTTGAGGTTTGGTTTTCCAAGGGGATTCCACGCAAGCTGGGAGTTAAGATGAAGTGGATCCAAGATGATCCAATGTTGATGGGTCCGGGGTGTGCCATGAACTATTGGAGGAAAAGAACATTATGTAAACGTATATAAAAGACTATAAAAGTAGATGCAAAAGAAACTCCATGTAAACATCCAAATGCAAATGTATGGCTATATAAACTATGGAGGGATCAAACCAATAATTGGTGCAATCGTTGAATCAAAAAGCAGAATATATTATGAATTATATATAACATTTATGAACTATATTACATTTATATTATATTAACCTTCACCCGCCACCAGCGCAAGAACATCTGTCTTTTCGTCTGTCTCCGCTTCGACAGTTGTGCCATGGTGCAACGCCAGCTTGCAGGATGCATCAACCCACGGTCACCACCACCTTCAGCAAAGGCACCGGAACAATGGAGTATACCGCACAGATATGTACAGATCCGCTTGTTGCAACCGGAAAGGACAATGACCCAAACCGCATGTGGATGTGAAGAACGTTGGATCAAGACGTCTGTGGGCTGCCTCTAAAATCGGGCCCTTGCCATTGCAGGGCCCTTGCCAGTGCATGGCCGTGCCATGTTCATTCCTGTTCGCCATGGATAGTCAACATGGCTCTTCATCAACAAAACTAGGCCCGCCAGGCCCGCCACTTTCAAGCCGGTTACGAAGCCCGCACGGCGCCGTCGAATCCTGAGGCTGGAACACCCTAAATCGAGAGCATGTCCGTCGTTCACGACGCTCAGCCACTTTCAGTGGCACAGGTCCATGCTGCAATGCCGCAAAACTCACGGTGGTACTTGATCACCTCGTTTGAACTCCCTTCCGTGAGAGCCCATCATTGGCCGGCTGTTGAACCTCGAAACCGCCGCGGTTCGCCGCGCTGCCGGCTGAGCCGTTCGAGCTTTTCTTCGTAGTCGGAGTCGTGCTCGTGGGAGAGGCAAACGCGGTCCGGTGACCGGGGCCGCTTTCGGGTTCTGGGTGCCTTACATGGACCGACGCGGCGACAAAGGGCGAGCCCTTGAGCTTGTTTCGATTGAACGCCATCCCATGGAGTTAATACATATCAACACTCGTCATGGGTCCTTTGCAAACCTGTGGCGTACGTAGAATCTGCGAAAAAAACCTAACTATGCCCCTTATGGCCTGAAGTAGTCATTGGACACGCTTTGGATAATCCGGGATTTGGAGAACAAATCGATGGCTCAAAGCCTCAAAGCTGGACCCTCTCGAAGCGGATCAGAACGTCTTCGGGAACATGGCGGCGATCTCGATAATTTCCATACTATATGACAATTTAAATCGCCTTCAGCCCAAAGAATATTTGGTTGGAGGCCATCGCTATAGGGTTAGAGGACATCGCTAGTAGGTTGGAGCCCATTCCTAATAGGTTCCATTTTGCTTTATGTCTCGGACGGATGGTTCTTGGCAAAAGTACTTTGAAGGGTCCAGGGGGAGAGTTTTCCTCTACCGCCGAGCTACCCATCAGAAACAACACACATGACTTTCCCCGGCAGACAGTGCCCAGTCCGTCCGACGTCGGTCTAATCCAGCTCAGCGGCGAAACGGCGCAGCAAGTACTCGTCCGACTGCCGAAACACAGGACTCTTGCCTTGGGAGGAAAAACACAGCCCGATGACCCGAGTTCCGACCACTTCTTGATGCCTCCAGTCTTAGCTTGATTCCTAAAATATGGCAGATTGAATATCACCAACTCAGGGGGGAATCAATCAGCACCCCGTTGCGAACGACTGAGAACAAGGGACCGACTAGGACCCCACGTGTGCTTTGTGTGGGCAAAATCTGCAGGAAAGGAATGACAGCGGATGAGTGCGTACGGATGACAAGCGGAGATGTTGAGTACGATGTATGATGATCCCCCTTGCTTGATACATTCAGGTGGCGTGTTACGGTTTTGTTTAATAAAGACTTAGCTGCTATAAAATGACCTGCGAGGCATCATTGTCTATAAAGTATACGTAAAACCAACACTTTTATACAATGACAGTACTTCAGGCAGACTCCGGTCAATGTCATGAGGTATCCATATTCTGGAATCTGTATTCTTTATATAATGCACTTCCCTCTCCTACATGATCTTATCTTTCCAGGGTACCATGCACACATGTTTCTATAGAATGACCCCTGAAAATGGCATTTTGTAAGCACGGTATGGTGTGAGCTTTTGAGTTGGCATGACTTGAGTTGGTGTGAGATGAGCCGGTGTGAGCAGTTGACTTGCTGTGAGCAACTTCTCCAGTCATGGATGCTTCTGAAGCAGCTCGGGATCATTGTTTGTTGCTTTGAAGTGTCTCAGGGTGTCAGTCGGGGTCAGATTAAATGGGTGTTGGAGTAACACGACTACTGTGTAAACTTTCTCTTGCCAGAAACACACCGTGGCATGGCCAGCGTATAGTCCTCCTGGGTCCAGGGGGTGCCTGGTTTTGAAGCCTTCATTGCATCCCGACACTCCAATGGACTTGCAAGTGCATCTTTTCCGGTCCCATGGAGTCCCATGGAGTCCCATGTTCCCGTCCCCAAAACCGCCCCAAAAAAGCACCGAAGCGACACCACATGATCAGGCTCATCCGGCGACCCGAGGAGATCGCCAGCGCGCCATGCCGCCGCTTGCCCAAATGCACCACGCAGCGACCGCAGCGGTGCTTGTAGGTGTGCAGGTGCTTTCCTTTTCGCTGCGACCGGCAAGCGGCAATCACTCAGAATTCTCAACGATCAGCGGCGACACAGCGAGATCCACCCGCTGAACCGATTTCCGGCGCTGCGGGCGGACGGTCGGACGTCCGTGGTGCGTGCGTTCTTAGACCGCCAAGACTCGGTGCTCCTCGGATCCTAACATCCCACAGAAGGCCAAATCACTGCCTGCGATCGGTCACCCGGGCCGACCACACGGCCGCCCCGCGGGGGGACGGGGGACCGGAAAAGATACCATTGGGCCCAGCACATCGATCGCTGCATGGTTTTCAGGTGCCAGTCCCTAACTGAGTCTGGTTGGGTATATGGACAAACTCATACAACATCATACAACGTTACAGCATCAACCATATCATGACAAAATCGTGATGGCAACCTATTGGGGATGGTCATGGGGAAAACTCCCAGGAACCAGCGGGCAGACTCAATTGAAGTGCTGAAAGCAAGGTGCTGAAAGCAAGTTTCAAAGCCATCCCCCTGTGGCCAACATTGGGAACCACATTCATATCATGAATGAGCAGTATCATTGCATGAGCAGTGTTCCTTCCAGCCACTTCAAGCTGCTGTCGACAAATTAAAATTTGGTTCCGCCCTCAAGTGATCACCTGGACCTCAAAAGGTCACTGTTGTTCCAACTTCAGTAATCACATACGTACTATATGTATTTTCTTGGTGGTGCTCATCTATCCTGAACTACTCAAAACCAGCGGAAGAGAGACACGCGCAGCGACACCGCGCCCAGCGGCCTCGGAAGTCGTCCGAGTTGGTGAGACCAAAATTGAAGGTCACGTCACACTCGTCCACGTGCATGTCTAATGACCGGTCCTCGTCCGGCTGATACCTGCAGAAAGATGGCTTTTTGGGGCCCAAAGGTATCACATACGACTTAAAGCTGTCTCCGAAACAGGCCACCCAGCCACTGGGATTCATGAGGTCTTCATTTAAGGCTAAAGATCTCCCGACACACGCGCACACTCAGACCGGACTCGCTGAATTCAGATGTAACTAGTCTACCTCCTACATCCCAAAACACCTTGGCAAAGCGACCAAGACGCTTTAACCTGCGCGTCCCGGACCCAAAAATCTATCGCACGCGACGCACACGGGCGGCCTCACCACAAAGGTGTGGTGTGCCGACAAGCTGTCGCCGCCCCAATGTTCGAATCCCTGAGATCCTGCCGTGAAAGCATCCTGCAACTCGATGGGCCCGAAGAGCCGTGTAGCAATGCCCAGGAGATGCTCCTCAAGCCGTGGCAAGGACACTGGAGGTATTTCATGTTGCCTGGAGGATGCATTTGAGGCCGGCTAGACCAAGGGTGAGTGAAGCGCAGCAAGGACACTTAAAGCAACATCAAACAATTAGGACTAGGGGCTATCTTGCAAACAACAACACAAGAACACAAATTCAACACACGTCCTCCAGCAGCGCAGAAAAGACCGGCTTGAGGCCAATCTCGTTGAGCACAAGGCCATAGTTGTTCCTTGAGTAAGGCTAGAGTATGCTTGAGTGCTGGCTTTGCTTCGGTTGATTCGGTTGATTTGTTTGGTATATTTCCCATGCTGACTCATTCTTCCTAGTTCTTTTGGTCGGCAAAACTGTTCTAATTGAGTTCTTCCCTGGCTGGGTTTGTTGTGCAAAAAGCAAACAAGCGCAAAGACCCACAAGCAAGGAATTGGAACGAGTGTTGCAACTTGTTTGCGGGTGATTGGTTCACTATAAAGGAGTTCTCACTCTATCTCACCCACAAACATATTTGACGATTAGCGTGGCACGATTTGCCTTGTTTGTTTCCTCTGGTGTTTGCGTGTTGTCATCCAAAATGAAACGCGCTGATTCATGTGATAAAACCTCAGCTGCCGATCAGTCGCTGCCGATCAGTCCAGTAGCAGTCACCCAGAAAAGCACATTTATAAATATGTCGTGTCTTAGAAAGACTGACGCTTAGTAGGGAATAAGGGAATGAGCCCCCAGTAGAGACTCTATTGGATCCATTCCCTCATTCCCTGCGAGTCGCACCAGTCAGAAGATCACCCAAGAGGAATACAGACCAAAAGCATCCGCGTCCGACCCATCACCGGGGACTGACCCGACCCACGTGGGGGAAAAAAGGGGTCTGGAAGCCAACCCTTTTCCATGCAAGCCGTTGGAATGTCAGGGAAAATGGAAGCACATACTTCATGGACTTCCACTCCTTGGAATGATCATGATTGGCATGGTGTCTCGGGATGACTATGTTGGTGTCTCATCCACGTCCACGTCGATTCCAGGGAGTGGTCCTTGGTCCTTTCCACTGTTTCTTGCCCGAGCATCATGCTGTTGGGAGGCCGCGAAGGCAACCCGGACGCCTCAAGTGAAAGGCCAATATAAGGGGCAATTGGAGAACAATTTGTGGGGAATGTTATTTTATTAGAGTCAAAGGCCAGTAATTCAATCAACTATCACCTGGCTGGTCACTTCTTTTTGCAATGTTAAACCAGCTCGTCAGCTCTGATGCGAAACGACGACTACGGCTGACTGCGCCACGCAGTCGACGGACTCCGGGGTACCTCTGCGCGCGCCTGGTAGTTGAGAACTTCCTCCAAGAGCATCTTGCAGAACTCCTGGGTGAAACAGTCGAAGGAGACGATGCCTGGACTGTGAGGCGGGACTTCCTGCGGCGAGGTCCCGGTGTTTCTATGGCCGAAACACCACGTGTCCACGTGGTAAGTGGTTGCTGGTGTCACCCCCCGCATCGCACTGTATTCAACCAATCACCTGTTCTACGCCCCAATAGCCGTCCGGTTCTGTCGGACCTCCCATTCCTTCCTGAGACTGTGAATCATTCCAAAGCATTCGTCCAGACCTGCCTTCAGTCTCCAGCCGCACGTTCGGCAGCCGCCGGATCTGCAGTTGCTCCGGTTGTCCGGAGCTGCGCCAAGCACTGGTGGCCTCCAGGAAGCTTGGTAGGAGCCACCGGTGCAGTTGACTCGGCTGGAACAAAGCCTCGCTTCCGAGGGTCACGGGTGAAACACGCGGAAATCAGCAGTTCGTTCCTCGAATCCCGGAAGCTGTGGATGTTAGATGATGTTAGCCTGTCCTGTATATGCGACCTGTGTGATGAAATAGCTCAAGTTGATACAACTTGAGGTCTTTCAACGTTTTAGGATTGGGATGATGAAAGCAGCTTCCAAAACAAAAGCAAAACACACGTCCAAGCACGTTCGCCACCAGGCCAGTCTAAAACAACGGCGATGCTCAACATCCAAAATGTCACATACAGCCGCACTTCTCTAGAAGGGGACAACAAATGTGAGCAACTGTGTCTTAAAAGTATTAGCACATATTGGCAGCCCAGGATTTTGGCCAACCTTTTGCCTGCAATGCCGACCACCCTTAAACGTCATCGCCAGTAAACTGATGCCCCAACGTCTTGTCCGGCCGTCCTCTTATCTTCACCGCGTCCCATTTAGTCCACCACTGTCCGACCCGCTGGAGGGCAATGAATCCGAGTGGTCATTAAACTTACACTCCCGAAAACTAACATGGAAGTGGAAAACCACCTGTTTGGTTCGTGGATTTCATGGTCTTCCTTTCGGGGCCATTCTCCACGTAACCATGTTAGTTCCAGGGAGTGTAGTGACGCTCGTTGGGGATCCAGTGCAGGTGAGGAACAAGTCGTCCATGCCTTCTGCACCCATAGGAAGGAGTGCGCGTGAAAGGGTACGGTATGCATTTGTCTTTCATTTTTGTAACAGATTATCATTGTTTAGAATCTTGGGGCCCGCTGGCAGCAGTCTGGGTGGCCTGTTTGCAATCCTTTGGACATGCACCCTCTATATCCGCAGCTCATGTCAGGCAGTTGAGGCCTGATCGAAATTTTACCCTCGACTAATTATGCTACTTTGGGATGGCTCTAAATTTTACACTCGGGTGGCTCACACAAGGCATGCTACGTTGGAATGGCTCCTTTCTCCGAAACTTTACCCTCGGTTGGCTCACAAGAGCGATCAAGCTGGAATGATTCCTTCCTCTCTTGTGGTTTCAGAGAACCAATGGCACAAGTTATCCCAAGTTCGGTGGTTGTTTTGGGGACACCCATCTGTTCAGGACATCTGACGGGGGAAACGGGCCATTTCTCACCTCTGATGGCCCACTGTAATGGTTTCTTCCTGACCGAATTCTTCCAGCAGAAAGGCTCCTGATCCTCCGGCCTCAAGCCGATGTTTGACCCCCTACATGGCCCACCAAAGGTGCCTTCCTCAAGCAACCCCGAAGAGAAAAACAGCTTGGGGAGCCTTAAGATGTTGTAATGGACAGGCTTGCTTTGGATCCTCAAATAGCTCCAACGAAACCAATAGGGAGCAATGACGAGTCAAACAATCAATAAAACACACCCCATGACGACTGCCGGGTGGCTGGGTGTTTAGCTTGGCCAGCGTACTCCATGCCCCTTCGCCGGAGCTCACCTGAGCGGAAAGCACTGGAGTTGTACACAATCGCTACCAATGGGCCACCCAGTTCTTTGTGGGCTGCCATTTGGTGTTCATCATTACAGTGGTTTCAAAGGCTTGATGGCACTCGCACCCCAAGAGATGTCCTATCTGTTCACCACCACCGAAGCTTGGGGACTGGACTCGCTACAGCCACGCTGCTCCGAGCCACGAGCCTGCGTCACGTGCCAGGGCTCTGCTGGCTGTTGCCCAGCGGCCACGACCAGCTCGGCCGTATCCTAGATACGACGCAAACGGGTCCGGCGGCGGAGTCATGATGAAGGCTCAACGGAGGGCGCGTGGAGAAAGGGGGTCAGCCAAAATCGCCTGAACGAAGTTAGTGCATCAAAAATACCGTCTACGAAGTTCTACGAAGGTTTCTGGGATTTTGTTGCAGCCACCATTCCACGAAACGTCCACGAATAGCCCCGGATTCCACGAATGACCCGCGCCTTCCACGATGTTAGTAGAATAATGTATAATAGGTTTTTGCAAAACTCTTTCTGCGCACTTCCGTTTGCCTCTGACATGAGTCCACCTGGTCCCAGCATCCCGTCCGAAGGCATGAAGTCATGGGCTGAGTTAGCCATGTGTTGAAAAAGAAACGGCCTATGGGCCTATATGTCAACACAAAACACCAAACCAAGCGTGGAATGTGGATTTTGGGGGGAATGTGGTCTATCAACTGTAGAGCCATGGAAGGTTCGTAGACCTAAAACCATCTCAACCATTTGCACACTACGTCTCTATATCAGGGTTCACGCTACCCTACTACCAGCACAAGTACCCTGCAGGGCATACCCTGATATACCCTGCCTAAGGAGGGGCTTGAAAGGGACCAGATGATTTCCTGAGACTGAACGATTGCGACAAATCCAATCACCTGTCAATACCCAGACACTCCACGGGACTGCCATATATAGTATCTTAAATCATAATTTGCCTTAATATGCCACACAGTATACATGTTCTAGGAATTTCTGGGATCTGATTCAACCATTTTCAACCTGAAGCACATGTGTGCTTCCAGCCCTGCAAGCAAAAGCCGCGTCCGATGTCGGAGTCTGCGCCTTGGGCGCCAGGACCTCTCCACCACTGTCAAGCTCAACCAAATAAGGCACGATGCCCTCCGCCGGATCACCATCAAAGTCCACTTGCACCACGGTGCCTGGGGCCAACAGCGGAAGGAGACGTCGATCTGCACCCTCGAGCCGTTCACAGCACCATCCAGAAGGTGTCTACCTAGATCTGCTGGCTTTGTCTTCTAATTCCCAACAAAAATGGTTTGTCCCAAAGGTCGAACAGTTCAGGGTCTCCCTAGTCCACTACACCCACCAGCTACTCACTGGCCCGCGCAGGCTAGGCTCGGCTGTCCTAACACCACTTCGTGTCTCGTTGGGAGGACCTCTGGAGAAAGATCCTCAGACTTTCCTGGCACCCACCCCAAGCATCTTCGAAATGGAGGTAGGCCAGGAGCCCGCTCTGCTTATGCTTCAAAGTAGATGGGCCGAACGGTTCCACCGTTTCAAAGGTTATAGTTATATGACAACGAGGATCCACATACCTTCTCAGAAGGTGCTGGGGCCTTCCTGGCACCTACATAACCCCTACATCCGCCTACATCAAAGTGTCTCAAATCACCTTCTCAGAGGGTTGTGAATCCATATCGAGTATCCACTCTTCTTGGGAACTCCACCGTCACACGTGGACTCAGCCTGAGCCCGAGCGGCGAATGGGGGGGGGCACGAAGCGTCAAAAAGCAGGCGACTCCGATTCTATATTCATGGGGGAGATTCTTGGGATCCCTGAGCTTGTTTTCCATGTCTTTTCCTAAATCCCCGGTATATAACATCGAATAACATCGATATTCTCCGGTGCACACACATGTCGTGAAACAAAAAATGAGTGATGAATTATGATGAGTTGCTCCGCTTCCTCTTCGTTTTTCGTGGGCCCCTCGGCGGCCAAAGCGGTTATATTTTTCTCCCACGTTGGACCAACTCATCCGGCTGGGTCATGGCACCCAGAGCCCGGAACCGCACACTCACCGGAGTAGGTTGACCTCGGAATTCGTCGTTCTTCCGTTCATGTTCTGTGGGAAAAACCCGGGGACTCCCACTGTTGGACTCACTCATCTTCCACCAAGAACATGATCATACCCCACTCCCAGCCAGCCTTCCAGCCAGCCATCAGCTGTGAGGCATGCCACGCGCGCACCCACAGCAAAGCGTCGTTGTTCAACATTGCGGCTCTCCATGGTGGGACGTTGTGAGCTTCAGGGTGGTGTCTTTTCAAGATATAAAAACCAAATCCCAGCTCACTTGAAACAGAGTTGTACATGGGATCAATCATCCCCAGTATATAAAGGGTAAACATTATCATCTTTAATATTATTTAACTATCATTCCTTGGATTCTTTGGTGCAAAACTTCACACACGCTGCTTTCGGTTCATGTTGGTTGGCACATGCCGTCCATGAAACACGAGGTCGGCGCCTGTTTGAAAGGATGCACAGGTGGTACTGGAAAGGAGCAATCAGTTCAACCACATCCCCCTAGGGATCTAGTCGTACCTTTTCAGGTACGGTGAGGATGGAGACTATTTATGTAGGCGCCAGGGTCCGGCCCAGTCGTACCTGCTGAGGTACGGTGGCAGGTGGATCCCTATAGGTCCCAAATGCAGTGAGGGTCCACGTTCTTTCCCAGTACTTCGTGATGGCCTCTTGGCGAGATCGCTCGTTGGGGCTCGGAAGACTCCCCGTGCGGTGCTGTGCCGGACTCCATCGTTTCGCTTTCTTTGTAGAGTTGTTCTTTCACGCTTAAGCTGGGAATAACCACAGCTTCTGTCGAAGCACTAGACTATACAGCGGAAATGCAGAAAAAGTGAGGGTTCGCATCCCCGCAAGAATCACTCTGCTGGCTAAATGTTGAGCGCTGTGCCATCATGTACCATCACTGGCGTCCATGTTGTTTCGTCTTACCATCCTCTCCACCGTCCCTAAAAACCGCACAACCGTGATGGGCTACTCGTCATCCGCACTCGTCACCGGCTCCTCGGTGTCGGGGTCCAGCGCGAACTTGCCGAAGCGAGGATAGCGGGGAGGCTGTGGCAACGCCTGGGATCGGTCGTCCACGGAGAAAGGACGGCGGCGAAGGACGTCTTCGGTGAAGCGCCCGTTGCACAGGTCAACGTGTGATATAACTTGTTTTGAGAGAATGTATGATATAATATGATATGATATGATGTTTTCTTGATTTTTTATATTTATGTTGTAAGTTTTCTTTGAGGCGGACCCCCGAAAATAGAAGTGGATTCCTAAGATGTGTCTTCAAATTTTGAAGTAGGATATTCACAATCCAGGACAATTAGAAGTGCCTCTGAAGAACCTGGTTAGGATTGGTTAGGTGAACTTCCCTGTGCCGCTGTGCGACGTTTTTGTTCGGTGCAGAACGCCTTTTGTGGTTCCGAAAAGGCTCCAACCACGATCTCAGTGCCATTGATGTTGCACATGGCCACTGATGTTGCTAACTAATTACTCATCACTGCCACTATGTTGCAATGGTTGGTGCACACTTCATGTGCTCAGCCAGCCACTGCGACCATCCAGCTCCGGTGGGCCACCCCATGAAGTAGCCGGACATAGCCGGCTGACATGGCTTGCTTGATGAGGTGTAGAACTTTGCGGGAAGGCTGCATGCTGTGTTTGCAGAGTTGACGTAGGGTGGTGGCCAGCTGAGTGCATGAAGCTGCGCCTGCACTTCTTGCGTTCCCAAAGCCTTGCCCTTTACGAGGTACCAGCCGCTTGCAACTGACTTCTGCAAATGGCACAACCTTCTCCCCAGCCCCATTCCCTCTCTTGTATCACGTACGCATTCTTGGCCAAGGTCATGACCCGAAAGGGCAGAAGCTCATCTGCAGGAGTGCCCTTCTTGTTGTCAAGCCTTTCCCAGCAGTGATCTTGTTCTTGGCACTCCTTTGCGTCATTGCTTTGAATACTGTAATCTTCTCGCCTCACCGTTGCCAATGACACCCTGGATGAGGTTACTTCCTCAATTCCATACAGTTGCAAGATGTAACAACTTCTTTCTAATTAAGCGCTAGCAGCGACCGACCGACTAACCCTTACTACGACCAAGGGGAACCAGCAGCGGACTGCACCAACAGCTCTGAGTTGGTGTGAGTTGATGTGGGGTGAGTTCCTAGACCCTCCAAAGTAGACATGACCCTATTATCGCGCACACTTCGGACGATCCGAACGAATGGCCTCAGCAAAGCAGAGACGCGCTAGGCCAGGGACATGACCCTATTAAAACAAATACTCGTACCTACTTTCAGAATCTTTCAGATACTTTCAGAACTTTCAGGGTCCAGGTGAATTTGTGAGTTGGGTTCGGAGGAGGAGGAGGAGAAGCACGCGGCGGCAGCACGGAGAGAAAAATTAGAACCCCACGCTGGAAAGGCACTAACCATCAACCTCTCAGTGCCTGATATCAGCGCCCGTCTCAGCGGCCCTCCTATCAGCTGCCAGCAGTTCCAACTGAATGCATCTTCTTCGATCTATATGATAAAGTTGAGAGTTGAGATTGGCAAAAGTTGAAGTGCTGCTGTGGGTCTTCGCAACGGCTTGACATCTTGAATAAACATTTAAACAGGTAATGACAAGCAATGCGACAGGCTGTCCAATCTAAAATCTAAACCCGCAAGTCAACTACAAGGTCAAGTTAAGTGGTCAATTTTTGAAGGCTTGGGTCCTCTTTAATTGTTAGATGTTCGTGCCCATAATGAATCCAGTGAGCACCACTGTGGTTGGACTGTGGTTGAAGTTCAGTATTCAATGATGTTTCCATATTTTCCCTGGGCATTTAGCGGAGACAACCCAAAGCCTACAGTTCTGGAATGTTCTTGAATCAATTCACCGCGGAGCTTCTTCCAATCCTCACTTCCCGGCAAGTAGCCTTTCCAAAAGAAGTCAGGCAAGTCCAACAGAGTGAATCCACATCGAATCGAACGCCGATCGACCACTCGCGCCCATTCGCGCCCATTCGCTCGGGCCCCCGGACCACACAGATTTCCCCCACACCCGCCTGGGAGTTCGGCCAAGTCGTCACACCGAGGAGAATCCATAGTGACGACGAATTCGGTGACGACGCTTCTTTCGGAAAGCCAGACGAGTCCTGTTGCGACCTTCACTCCTGAGAAAGTCCTCCACCTCTGACCTCCACCGGAACCCAAGACGAGCGACGATTGATCAGCCGCGGAGCGAGGCAAATATTCTTCTACTCTGAAGACCATCTACTCTGAAAAACAATCAAAAACACATTCTCCAGCTCAGCATGCTTCAGAAAAAACTGCTTCACCGTGGGCATTGGGAGCTTTTGGCGGCTGGGGCGTTTTCAGACCAGTCGACCTCGGTCGGTCGTGGGGTGGACCCTCTGTCGGTGCCCGGTCGTGCCCGTTCGGTGCCCGGGCGGTCTTGAGGAGTTCAGCCTTTCGAGCGAACATCTCTTGGCATTCCTTCAATGCCTGGACGACGGAGAGATGGAACGGGAGGCAGGGAGGCAGGGAGGTCGTGTGTGAGGTTTCAGTTGGCGGCCAGGTGGGTTCTTCATGTGTTTGATGTAGAAACAAAATGTGGGTCCTCGTACGGTTCGGAGTGGGGGGGACCCCCGTGCGGTGGGGTGCCAGCATACGGGGAAAGGAAGCTATGGAACGTGTGCCAGACCCAGCCAGAAGATTCACCGATGTGCCAGGCGGACAGAAGTTGGCCAGGAATAACTTGACAAGCGAGGTCTGCTCCACTTCCATGTCTCTTCATCAACCAGCAACACTCAGTCGGGATGATTGTCATGGTAATTATACAGTATAGCTTCATGTAGCTTCCCGGCTGGCGAAAGAACATCAACCCTCCAGCACCTTCCGTTCAGGGTCACCTGGCTGGAAGAGCCCCCTTGGAAGGTCTGGTGGCTCTCAAATGCTCTACCCCGCAGCGAGCGAGCTGCCGCATCGGGGGGGACGCACCCGGTCACATCAACAGATGTTGGATTCATTGAAATTAACCAACCCAAACCCCAAAAACCTCCGGGATGTACCTAATTAAAACCAATTCACCTCTCCAAGTCATGTCTTCGCACGACGCGAGAAGCCCTCGTCGACTCGCACGCACGCCCGAAGGACCTGCCCGAAGGTCCCGAAGGGCGGCGCCTTCTTCAGCTCCCCGTCGGTGTTGTAGAAGAGCGTGCGGTCCTGCACGCACGGACCGGGAAGAGAGAGAGAGAGAGAGGGGATCGTTTTTTTTTGTCCATGAGAACATGTCAGCTGGGCGCAAACATTCCAGTGGACACCTCCGGCCAATTGGGGGACCAGCACACCGAGTGACTCGCTCCAGTTGACGATCCTGTGACCGAGATCTGACGATGTGAACCACTGCGTTTGGCGTCCAAGTGAAATCACCGGATTCCCAGGGTCGAAATCCTCAGGAAGCAGAAGTTGGCCAGCTTCGAACTCAGCTCACAAAAGTTGACTTCCTTGACCTTTTTTTTGGGTTCCAGGCCTCATGCTAGTTTCACAAAAGAGTCAGGGATCCCCCAACCAACAATGTCACCGCTGGTTGTAAGCGACATCACCAACAACACCACTTCTGGAATGTTGGAATGTTGAAGAGTGTTGGAAGTTGGTTGAGATGCGGTTGGATGGATGTTCGTTCAATCTCACAGCGGTTCCATGGACCGTCCTGCAAGACTCAGGGTTTTTCCCAAACACGACCCATGGGACTGCCATAGGACTGCCGATCAGTTGGGGTGGTCGATTTCGGGGTCAATGAGGCGGCATATCTTCCTGTCCCATGCATGGAGTGTGTGGGTTTGGGGTTTAGGCTTTAGGGTTTAGACACTTCCACCGCGGAGATTCCGCCGGTCACCCGGTCAGACCGCTCCGTGACGGAGGTGAAGGCATCGCGGCCCACGAGGATGTGGAGGAAGTTCAGGGGCACACTGCCCTTCTCACCTGGCGACTTCGACATGTGGGGAATTGGTGAAAAGACGGATGTGGGAACCAAGACACGGGATTCTAACATGATTTATTCCAAAGGACAAGACTTGTATACAGAGTTAAACCAGAAGCTCAAGCCACAAGGAGTATTCCAACACCTGCGACCACTGCTGGGTCAAAAATGATGTCGATGTTCCCTCAAACAATTCCAACGGTTTGGAGAATTCCTTCCAGCCTTCTCAAAACTTGTGACTTAGTGGTCGAGACTTTTTGATCTTTTTGGAGGGGATTTCGTCG